TACCATGCATGCAAGATAAATATTTTCTTTCGAAGAAAAGATTTTCGAATCAATTTTGTTGAAAGTTCTCTTGAGCTCGTTTTCGTTGAACTGAATAGACTTATTCCTTCATTGTACAAATGGCTCATTCGTTGATCGACATGTGAATTTGGAGCATTTCGTATAACATTACTTATTGCAGCATTATAAAGACAAATAGTATTCGAATTAGTCATTAATGGCTTGGTATCATAGTTCCGTCTTACTGAACATTTTAATTCGACGTCAGTTTTCTTCTTGCAATTATTTTGTAATTTTTGCTGATTTTTTAAGGGGTGGATAAATTTTAAGACAAGAAGAAAGAATGTGCTTGTAGAATATTCTAAGAGAGCAACTTGAAAGTTAAAACGACAAGGGTATATTGGACAAAGTGATTTCGTAATAAAATAGACACCTTTGATTTGTTATTCCACTGAATGCTGCGATGTTTTCCAATAGTACTGAATTAAGAGACATTTTATAATTCACCTGATATTATAAAATATTTTATTGAAATGTTTTGAACGAAGATAAGATTTTTTGTAGGCGTTACAAACAGTAACGTCATTAGTATTTTTAATACATATAAATTATTTTTCATATCTTGCCCGAACAAAGAATAATAAATAAAAGTTATTTGCTCTTTCAGAGTATTTACAGTAAATTTCGGAAACAAGAAGAAACAAAAATTGAGGTTAGTTTTGTATAGTTACATTAGATATTCTTTTTGAAACATTTTTGAAAAATTTAACCTTAAAATACACTTTAGACCGAAGAGTCTGTATTAATTTACAAATCATAAATATAAACGAAGACGGCGGCCATCTTGTAAGCCACAGACGCCTTCCATCTTCCTCCTCCATCTTCCGCTCACTTCATTCCTAAAGAAGAAGACGAACAATTTTCGTATTTTATTTCATATTTCACCAAACAGGTTCCCCAGTGCACAATCTCGGGCGCTATGTTCACCCGACAAATATGAACACGGGCGGCAATGAGAAAAATACCCGTCGAATCTACCGGGTGTCATGAAAATAGGTTACCAACTTTGTGCTCAATAAAGAAAAACAAAACTTTTTCTTTCCAAGATACACATTCCTGTTCACACCGATTACAATTGCTACTAAATATACAATTTCGAGTGCCACTATAGCATTTCTTATATTTACATAAGTGTAAATATGTTACAGCAACTTACATTGATACTGAAAGCTGCCAGTTTAACCCTTCAAAAACACAATATATATTTATGTAATCGCATCAATCAAAATCGAGATAAACGTTCGCTAAATAATCTTTACAATATAACATATTACATATATATTTATTGTAGTATCTAGAATATTTATTGTAGGATGAATGGTTTGTTGTGCGTGCGTAAGGGCGACCAGGTCGTATTGCGATGGACCGGCGCCGGGATGTTTGGAAAATAGTGTGACTGCGTTTAGAAAATCTCGAGTGGCTGAAAGAATGCGAGG